GACCGAATTGAGAAACTCGGTCGGACCGAATCAGCAAATCTAGTGACCATTAGGATTTTCAGTGGGACCGACATGCAACTCGGTAGGACTGATATGGTTAGCGTTAGGGCATAACGTAATCTCGGTGAGACCGATTTTGGTAATAAGCTAACCAGAGAGTTGGCCAGGTAAACTCGGTGGGACCGATTCGCTCATCTTGGTAGGACCGAAATGTTATGAAAAGGAAACAGAGAGTTTACATTGCAATCTCAGTGGGACCAATCGCTCATCTCGGTGAGACCGAAACGTTACGAAGGGAAACAGAGAGATTACAATCCCATCTTGGTGAGACCGAGATCCCTATCAGTGAGACCGATTTGCCTAGGGTTTGTGGCAGTGGCTATGACATCTGAACTCGGTGGCGCCGGATAGAAAGAATCGGTGGGGCCGAGTTTGACTTTTGGTTTAGGTCATATGTGGATGTGAGAAAGTAGCTGAGGGCTTTGGAGCATATCACTAAGCATTTTGAGCAAGAACCTCATTAAGCAACACCTCATCCCTCCTTGATAGTATTGGCTTTTCCTATAGACTCAATGTGATCTTGGATCACTAAAATAGAAAATGTAGAGTCTTGAGCTTTGAGCTTGAGCCAATCATTTTGTCCTTAGCATTTTGAGGGGTCCACTTTTCTCATCCATGCCATGCCAATCATTGAGCTTTCCTGAAATATTTATCTTGGAATAGCATTAGCTCAATGAGCTATATGTTGTTAGGAATTACCAAAACCACCTAGGGATAGTTGCACTTTCACGGGGCCAGGGCATAAAATCCACCTCGAGTTCGGTATCGTCGCCGCACCAGTCTCGGTTGGTTAGCTTGCTACTAGATCTACCAACGACCGCCTCACAACAACCCACCGGAGTCGAATTTGAAGCAAATTTATTCCACGCCACTACCACGATAATCATCAAGAAAACAACGATGGAAGGACGACAAGCACATATTGCCATCAACTCCGAGGCGCCGCCATGAAGGTTGCCACCGGTGTGGGAATAGAGTTTAGGCAGATTTATCCGCCCCAATGCCGCCCCCACCACCCCAATGACGCACCACGGCATACAAACCCTAACCCTACCTACTAGGCCTGACGGAGGAATGAGATCCCCCTCCCAATAAATCGTACAAGAATAACAAGAAAGAAACCAACACAAAAATAATACCCACAAAAATATATATTCCACGCGGGATTTCCATATCAACACTTTGAGAAATACCAGTCCTGATCATAATGCTCTGTGTACAATTATTTTTCTAAAAGAATCTCGAGCATGACCCTGCCACATGTTCTTAATATTATATAATGAACATCATGGGCAAAAATAGTATGCACTTCATCATGCAATCCTATTCAATAAATATACTTGTTGGCTTACCACATCTAGCTTTTGCGAATGCTGAAGAGGGAGACGCGGTCAGGTGTTAGTTACATCGAGAATGATAATGAGCAGAACATCACGCCTTCTCCAATCGGCGAAATGATTGGTTCAAATTCTCAATGTAACTTACACCCACAACATCTCCCTCCTCGGTATTCTCAAATGGACAATTGAAGGACTCGACACTGCAAGTGTCAAGCTTTAGACACACCAAAAACTAGATTTTACTAGTGTTGTTGGTTGAATATAGGTCACTTGGAGGTATGAGGAGAGGAACTGCCCTTATATATAGAAAGAAAATGGTTGTAACCCCAAACTTTGAGTTCATCTTTATCCTATTATTCACATTAAGTACGATCCAAGTTTACATTGGTTCCTATTTGATTCAATTAAAAAGCTCCAAGCATCAATGAGCGCTAAGATATGAGCAGGAACTGCGCAAAACAAGGGGCTATGGCCCCACAAGGGACCCATGTTCTGGGATGTGCCACCATGCCTCATGGGCCCCACATTACACCCTAGGTCTTGCCCTTGAGTCACATCACTTATATGTTCAAAGTATTTAAGCCATGTTTACATGGTGCCGCGTGAGTTGCCGGATCGCGTTGGACCGATGATGGTTGAATTAGCCACCTATTCTACCTTAAGACTCACAACAGCCATTTGGGAGGTGGGTCTGAGTCATCGTCAGGCCCACACCACGGTTGTTGGGCCGATATTTGACATGTGTGACCTTAATCAAGTGACACATCCTTGTCAAACATTTTGACAATTTTTTGTAAGTGTCTTTGATAGTTTCGTTGCCAAAGCACACGTTCGATGTTGTGAACAAACGGAGCATCACATATGTAATGCATGCAGGACCATATGAAGACATAAGGAGGGGTTTGCACCTTGGGCCTTAGTGTGGCAGGTCACACATGCACTTGCCCGAGTGGGTTGGTTGAATGGGACCTTTAGTATTTTTACATTATAAACTTGGAGAAGGTCCTAAAAGTCCAAACTTGGAAAAACATGGTTTGAAAAAATCATAGTTTCAAACTCACGAGTTTGCGCTTTCAAAACAAACAGTATCATGAACTGTCCCAAGCAGCAATCACATTTTAACGACAAGAGATTAGATACACGCCATCACTATACTCTAGTACAACTAATACTGGTGGTTTGGCCTTAGCGCTCTTCTTGTGTCAAGTCATTTTTCTGAAAGAAGTCGATCTCTTGGATCTGGCCGCTGATGAGTTTCGGTCTTCCCCGTCAGAGATACATACGGATTGGCATATGTTGGCCCTAGATATCTAGATCGGAAAGGCTCCGGTCGTGTGCGCTCATATTATCAGGCAGCACGGACTCAAGTGGGCGCAGCGTGAAGCTTCACTTTCTTATTAGTGTCATGGGACATGTCTAAGTCAAGATTCTCAAGGCATTGATAGATGTGGAGAAAATCATGGCGGCTGCGATTGGAGGTCTTGAAGCTTTGGTAGAAGGGTGTTTTGAATGCGACGAAGACTGTGTGACAGGTGTTTGCTGACTTGCAACAGCGGCCTCAACAAGCAGGGACAGAAGCACTAGAGGACTATATTTTTGGCGGTGCTCCTTGAGTACCGAGTCTCGATTCCCAGGATGAAAACTCAAGGTTTGGCCTTTATTGGTTGTACCTGGCAATGACCTTATTGAAGACATTATCTTTCGGGTGATCTCGAACTTTCTTCAAGGTGAAACTCAAGATCTTCGACCGGGCAACAATAATGCTTGTGTATTGTTTCCTTCTTGGAGGCATTGCTCTTGGATAACCTCTTTTGCAATCTGGGGTGTTGTCTTCGGTGGTGGTTAGAGTGTTGTTGATGCTAGTGATTGATCACCGTGGCGGGAAATTGTTGGTTGTGTGTATCCCTCTATTCCTTTTATTTTCTTGTTTGCTTGTGTGTATCCTTGATGCCTTTGGACATCTTGTTGATAGAGAGGCTGGGTGTAATTGGTATCTGCACGATATTAACATATTCTTTTTTGTTGAAAAAGTAAAAGAAATTTCATTTGGTAAGACAATTGAGAAAAACTATTAGCGCATGGAGATGTCGGCTTGTCTGGGAGCTCGGGATAGCACGAGACGCGACTGCTCACGAAGGAATCCAGATTCAGATTCTACAACACATCACTTGTTGCGGTGGGGGAGATTGCAACAATGGCTCACTTGCAAAATCTAGTCTAGATAAAAAAATTGCTCGTGAGCCATTTGATTAAAATCCGATCTGATAGCCATAGAGCCGGCAGGCGTACGCGTCGTTCTCAGTGATTTGAATTATTTCCCATAAATTAATATAGCACATCGGAAGGCATGCAGTCGAAGTTGCCTCTCCCCATGTCCCTGTGTCCGCTTGCAATCAGTGGCCATGGCCACTCGAGCACACATGCCGGAGCTCCGCTCCGGCCGCCGTCACCTAGCTATCCCGCTTCAGCCCCATGCTGCATCGCCTCCACCATGATCATCATTGCATTTGCAACACCCCTCCTCCCTCCCCAACAAGATCGAGCTCCTCCTCAAGGCCATGATTGCAAGCAATGCAACACGGTGACTTTCTACAACAAGACATTTGTTGCAAAAATCTTTGCAACAAGAGCTTTGTTGCAAAAAATACAACATAATCATTGTTTCAAATGTTTCTGCAACGAGACTTGTGCTGCAAAAGGATTCTCCCAACACGACTTTTCTGTTGCAAAAGTGACGACGATGCTTGACCCGGAAATTGCGTTAGTTCAAACGGCTCTTAGACCAGTGGATCTTTTATGATCCGCCTTAAAAAGATCCGCAGGCCGACGTGTAGCCTGGCCCTTAATTTATTGATTACTATTCCTGATGGTATTTTGTGCAGTCAGCTGTTTTTTTATCTCAATTGTATTTGTGTCATTGCGAAAAAAATCATTAGAAAAACTCAAATGACTGTTACTCCTAAAATTTACTCCTCCGTAAAGTAATCTCAAAATAAATTCAAATTGTATTTGAACTCGAATGACTATTACTCTTAAATAATCTCAAAATGAATTTGAACTCAATCGTATTGGTGTCATTCCGGGAAACAATGTTCATTAGAAAAACTCAAATGGATGTTACTCTTAAAATTTACTCCCTCTGCATAGTAACATAAGACGTATTAAAATAAATTCAAATTGTATCTGAACTCAGATGACTATATTACTCTTATATAAACTCAAATTGAATTTGAACTCAAAGGTTTTATGCAAAATGTTAATAAACTCAAATGATTTAGCATAAAATAAAGGTTGAACTAAAACCACGACACTTATTTTGGATCGGAAGGGAGTATCATTTATGCAAGGATTTAGTAAAATTTGTTCGAAGTCAAAGTTGTTCCAAAATTGGGACTGTTCTCTTCTCTTTTTTTTTTTTAGAACTGCACTAGCGTTCTTTGCAAACCAGAGTGTAGCAAGCGGCCCAGATCAACCGAAGCCCACTCGACGGCATTCTCCTCCGGCAAGCTCCGCGCGAAACCCTAGCCAGCCCCGCCGGCCGCCGCCACCGCCGCTCCCCTCCCGTCCACGCTCTCAAGGCCACTCCGGCCACCGGAAGCCATGGCGCAGAGGGCGGCGGGCGCGCTTCTCCGGCGGTCCCTCGGGCTCGCGCCGCCGACGGCCCCCAGGGCCCTGAGCACCAGCACCGCGGCGCCGGCCGCGGCGGCGGAGGGAGAGGCCGCGGCTGCCAAGGCGAAGAGGAGCAAGAAGAAGAACCTGTTCGACGTGGTGCAGTTCCTGCCGGACTGGGGCGTCGGCTACAAGGTCGCCAAGACCACCTGGCGCGACGTCTCCTACCAGATCACCAAGATCAACCTCTACAAGGTCCTCATCCTTCTCGCTCATCCACACGAAATTAATCTCTTGTGTCCATCTCCCTAACTTTGTTGTGGTTCGTTGATCCGTGTAGGACGGCCGCCACGGGAAGGCGTGGGGGATTCGGCACAAGGCCGGTGAGTCTCTGCTTAATGCCCCCCCTGATTGATTAGTAAGGCGACGCGCACTTGAAGATCGATGTTGCTGTGATGTTCTTGTACTCCCTCCGTTCACTTTTATAGTTCGTTTCAGACAACTGCAGATGAGCTATTTTGCACCCTGTCTGAAATGTCTTCAAGGCCTTATAAAAGAGAACAGAGGGAGTATGAATGATGCCCGTTAATTGGTAGTTTGGTCGAATGTAAGAGATTCGCCAAGGTCCCCGGTGGAATTGTACACTTATGCTGCGCATTGATCTGTGCAGTTGTGTGCACTAGTATCTGATTCTGGTGGCTTGCAGCTTGTCCCCCTCGAATTAATTTGGTTATGCTTGACCATTCCGATTCAGGTGACATTGTCACGGTGGTTTGTAGTTGTCTTGATTAGTTAGTTTGATATTATGCAGTGCAGTGAGTTTAGGGCTTTAGGTAAGGTAAGAATATATTTCCTCGCTCAAATACTTGATGTGGATATGCAATGTGACTTACAATTCCTAGCTGTGCGTACTGTAGAGTGTAGACTGTAGTGTATGGTATCCTGGGGCGTCGTAATGTCTTACCAAGTAGCAACTTTATGAAGATACTCGACAACACAAAAACTAGTACGCGTGACAGTTCAACCAGATTTTAATGGATGCATGAATTACAATCGGTACGATTTTCAACATCGCAAGCAAATCATTCCTGACAAGTAACTAACCACTATCGTGTTAATGTTACAGGGATAATATGATTCCTCCACTAGCTTAGATGTTATATAAATTCTGATTAATATGGAACATCACGTCTTGTGTGCCTCTCTTTCATTAACATGGAAGATTCTACACCGACTTCTTTGAATTAGACAGGCAGATGATATTGCCTCCAAAAGGAAAAAAAATAGAGGTTTGCTCTGTTTTTATGTTCAGTGCTGTGCCAACATATTCAATTGTTTGCTGCCCCAGTTACCCCAAGCTATTTTCTTTTCTTTTTCATATATGTCAATACCTGAATACCAGATAGATAGAAGGTGGTATTAACTGCCCTTTGATCATGTTTTCATGTTTACACTTACCGGGTCAGAAGGCATACTCATGTTCCCAAACCATGTAGAAACCTGCAACACACATAGAACTTAACGTGTTCCCAAACCTTGTAGAAACCTACCACACACGTAGACACTTAACGTAGCTGAAATAGTAACCGATGTCAGGATTATTTTCACCAGGTGAGGGATTCCTCACTTTAGCTGATCTATATGTTTCTCTTGCAGGTGTGCAAGTGGCCGACGCTCCGATAAAACTCAGCGGAGTGAACAAGCGTGGTTGGAAGTACATAAAGGCATCGCAGAAGACGGTGCAGGATACCCCCGCAGCAGAGACGCCAGCCGCTGCCACTGCCACCGCCACTGCTTAATTCGTTACAAGCTAGAACATTTAGAAGGCGGCAAAACGTGTTCCTGTAGAAGCGTAGCGTCGAACTGTTCAGACGGTCGGTTGATCTGCCGTCTTCCACTCTTTCATAGTTTCCATGCTTTCCAGGGTTTTAGGCATAGTTGAAAGGGCCCCGAATTGCCATGTCCGCCACGCTGTCTTGCTAAAGATGATGTCGCCGTCGAAAACATTTGTTTTGTATTTTCTACATTTTTGCAATGCCGCGTTTCCATGAGAAGGAACAAGTGCGTCGCCTCGGCATTAGTTTGGTTGGGGTGGGTCTCATGTAATAAAAGTTCATCCTTGCTCTGGTTCTTTTTTTTTTTTTGAACAAGGATTCTTGCTCTGTTAAGACTCTGGAACAGGGTAGCAATTAACATATACCGCATCTGTTTCTTCATGCACTTTAGAGTGACGATTACCAGAAGTGATCCACGAGTGTTTCTTCTGGATGTGAAAGCCCACCTTTGCTGCAGACCATTTGCTTGGTTCACCATAACCGGATATTGCCCGTAAAACTAAATATAAAAAGTTCATAGTACAATTCATGTGAGCTTTGGTGAAGAACCCATCGCCTTTGATATCCCAACCACCCTTCAACACGGCTTGACTGCTTCGCTATGTAGGCATGAACTGGTACCTACGCATTTTTCTTATCCTAAAACCAATTAGTTAGTAACCATCGGGCCACCCCTCGGACCTAGGTTTTGTCCGGCGTTTTGTTGCCGCCATGGCCCAGGGTTGAGTCAGCTGCCGCGCTATGTTATTGTACGCCACGAAGGACGCAGGGGCAAATATGTTCTTTTTCCCAGAGTTTCTATTTTGATCTACTTATAGTTCTTGTAATTTTGTAAGTTCATTATTTCTGAACGCCACACATCGGCGGGGGAAAGGTGTATTGCCCCGACATCATTTCAGGGTGTCGGGAACTGACCGTGTCCAACCGTCACTCCCACCGTCCCAAAAACAAGGCCTATTAATTTTGTGTCTAAAGTCAAGGAACTACAATTCCAAAATAACATAATCAAATACACAACAAAATATGTTTTCATATTATATCTCTTTAATGTTGTAGTTGTCGATGGTTTCCCCGCAAACATGGTCAAACTATACACCATTAATTCGACTCCACACAAAATTTAAAGGTCTTCCTTTTGAAGACGGAGACTTCCCTCTTGTCATCGATATGGTTAGGCCGGTTTTGGTGATAGGGATCGTTCTGCGATCCAGAGACCTTGATTATTATGATGAGATATTCTGTAGTAGGTCCATGTCTTATTGGAAAAAATAGGAACAACTATCTCCCCGAGGGAGCCTTGAACAATTTTGGCCCTGCCTTTTTTCTTAGGAGACTAGTGGCTACCAATTCCCATCACCAATCTTTGTCGGCGAGGGTGCTGGTCCCCTCCCCCTCCGCTTGCCGCTCCGGCGGCAGGAGGGAGCAAGGGGGTCTCATTATTCCGTTCTGGCCTAGTAGGTAGGGTTAGGATTTGTCGGTTGTGGTGCGTCGTTGTGGTGGTGGGAGCGGCGCTCGGGTGAATAAATCTGCCTCAAATTTATTCCCACACCGGCGACGACCTACACGGCGACGCCTCGGAATTGATGGGAATGTGTGCTTGTCCTCCTTCCACCGTTCCCGTCTTGACGGTTATGGTGATGGCGGCGTGGATCAAATTTACGTCGGATTCGATTCCGACGAGTCGCTGTGAGGCGGTCGTCGGCGGATATGGTAGCACGCTAACCAATCGAGGCTGGTGTGCCGGCGGTGCCTACCTCAAGGTCGATTTTATGCCCTGGCCCCATCATCATGATGACGTGCCCTCCAGCATCAACATGGGGGCATGGAGGTTTTGTAGGAGCGTGGTGACTCCAAATTAGCAGGTTCTCGTCGGTGGTGGTGCTTCATCGTCATCGCTCAACAAGCCGACGCAGTTCCAATATGGCTTATCTCTGGCCTGGAGGTCTTCCAGGAGTGAGGATGGTGACTTCCCGTGCGCACAAGCAATGGTTTTGCCGGCTCCCGCAGTGAGCGGCGGCGCGTCCTCATACCAAAAACCGAATTGGTTTCCCATTTGATTTTTATCTCCACTCCTAATGAAGGAGTCCCTACTTTGTTTCGTTTGTTCGCTCACCCCCCACCCCCCTTGATCGATACCTCCACCAGATCCTATCCCGACCGATTTTTTATCTCCCCTGAAAAACCGGTATGCATCAAAGCAGGGAGAGAAAACCCATGCTTTCCTAATCAAATTCAATTTTTTATCTCCCCTGAAAAACGGGTAGGCATCAACCCAAGGAGAAAAAAATCCACGCTTTCCTAATCAAATCAATATATATACTTTCATGTTTTCCAAATCAAATCAAATTCGATTGATATATTGATTAGATTAGGAAACATAATTTTCCTCCATTGATTAGTACAATCAAATCTCTATTCCATTGATTAGTACAGAATTTTCATTCATTGGTTAGATTATAGGAGTCCGTGGTTGTGATGATAGGCATTGTCGTTTCGTTCGTCCGCTCAGGCTCCTCGCGTAGCTCCTCCCGCACAAACATGTAAAAAGGGAAAAATACTCCGACGCGGATTTTTGGGACATGGTGGCACGCGATGTCGAAATCTCGAGCGTCCGCATGGGCATCGTGATTGCTACTTAATATAGGCCTCTGCGTAATACGGAGCAGGTAATTCATAGGCCAGCATAAATACACAATGTTATACCTTGCATGCGTGGGCCAGATCTCATTTAATTTTCGTATGGATACCGGCTCATCTGATGGCGACGCCCCTTGCAGGTTGGGTTAGTCATAATTGCTGTGGACGCAGGGCAGCCGTCCATTAGCATCGGCCTTGCTCATGGCGTGCCTTGTAGCTCTTGTTCGAGTTGCATCCCTATTGAGAGCAGAGCAAGAGTGATTGGCTTCGGCTAAGGTTCGTTGTGTCACAGTTAATGTACCACTTTGACTAAGCACACAAATTTAGCTGCAACCATGACAAACTTTCTATATACACTTAGGAATTTGTGGAGCTGATTTTGATGTCTCTAATTTGTCAAAAATGAGAATTATAATTTTTGATAAACAAGTATGATTGTGAAGCTGAGATCAAAATCAAAGCCGCAAAAAACGTATCATTATCTCATAACGGTGGTGCTCAAATATTCTATAAGCCATGTAAAAATATTTGAACTTTTATTCAGAATCTACATACTGATTTTTTTTATTAATGTTGTGTTTTAAAATTCAAGTTGTAATTTTCATGATTCGAGCTAACGATGAAGAATGAAGCTAACTGATTTTTTCTGTAAGAAAATGATACATGTAAAGATTTCAGTTGTAAATCAGTAGTCCAAAACATGTGACAAAATTAAAATACCAAACTGTGATTGTGGCCAGGGTTAACGAATCACGACCTGCTCCTAATAAATGAATACAGGCTGAGCAGATAGTACACTGGATAAATGAAGCCATTAAGTATTCCTGGGTGCCTTGATTGCTGGCAGGCATTTACAACGTGAGTGAGTAGTTATAACAAGCAGCCAATACTGGATCATACATTGAGTAGTTTGGTCCAAACTTAAATTACTAGCTATTACATTAACGACCTTGGTGAGAAAATAAATTGCTGGCTGATGCATGGCTGGTTTGGATTGAGAAAAGGTCTAAACTGAGAAGTAAATGAAGTAGACGACGATTGCAGCCTGGGACTAAGTTTCAGTGTTTGTGGAGGAAGAGCACGGCAATGGCTGATGCATGGCTGGTTATCTTCTTCAGCAAGGCTTGATTATCTTCGAGAAGTGGGACATGGCAGTAGACTGTTGAGTGCGATATGAGTTGACCCCATCTGGTGCTGCATAAATGTATGTAGTTGTTCTCCCACTTCTAGAATAAACCAGAGCACGTAGATAGGGTGGCACTCGAGGCAGCATATGAGAGGAAGAGATGCAATTTGATTGGGAAATGGCGTGAGATGAAGGTGGTGGTCTGGTGGAGAGATAGCCTGGGACATGGATGAACGCATGGTTGTGAAAGGGGTCGATTCGATGCTAGAAATTGTGTGTGAGAGAGAAAGAGCAAATAGTAGAAGCAAATTGGGCAGAGGAAGAAGAAGGCCTAAGTGATTTAAAGAAGGAGGAGCGTGGTGCAGGCAAGGAGAGGAGTATGCTGCTGCTAGCCGTTGTAATGGGTGACTGATTAATTGCATGTCGGGCTGTTCCATGCAACTGACGTGTGGGACTTACAACTGCCCCCTCTGATTTAATACAAAGACTATACGATACTTACATGTGCCAGGGATATCATTATACAAGCTGGCTGTATAATAAGTGCACGAATTACATGGGAGTGGACGGAGCTGATTTCCTCCTCGTGTGGCCGCATGTCCACTCGTGATTTATCGAAAATACTCCCGCAAAACAGCCACGATTCACGGACGCCGAGATCGTTCCCCTCCCCACCACGAATCCCATCCCTCCCCAATTCTACACGTTGTTCCGTTCATCGCTGCGCCGCCCTTAGCTCCCATCCACGCCAGATCCCTCACCACAGTCTCCCCCATCCCCCGTCGGCTGAAATCACTATTCTGACCTTTTCAGCAATCTTTGTCACAAAGTGAACTCGACATGAAAGTATTTCACGATCTGACCCTTTTAGCAACGCCATAGACCGTGGCGTTTCTTCTCCATATAAAAACGCCGAGCTAGCTAGCGTTTCAAATCCACATTCAAACTCCGGAGTAGCTAGCGTTTCCAATCCACATAGAAACGCCAAGCAAGTGGGCGTTGCTGCCTTGGCCTGAAACGCCATAGGGCTTGGCGTTTAGGCCCTAGGTTTAGGAGCAGCCTTTTACTTTGGCAACGGGGAAGCGAATGGGCTAGGTGCCAGCGCAGAAATGCCAAAGCCCTTGGCGTTTCTTACCTGGTCCGCAACGCAAGCAACCTGGGCGTTTCTCCTTTGCGCAGGAACGCTAGCTAGCTCGGCGTT